ATGGCTATATCGACATAGAATTTTACGCTGATCAAGAATATATATACTTCGTTGGGTCTGACATGAGAATTTCGAGGAGTTACAAACGGAATGACAAAGTTAATATATCCTCCATAGTATGGTGGAGGGTATAATATATTGTAAAGCTCTTCTATTTTCAGAAAACATTCGAAAGCTCTTTGGCAGAAAACTTTTAAAGCTAATTTGCAGTTCCACTGCATTACAGAAATTCTTTAATATGCGGAAAATCATTGAAAGCTCTTTAATAGGCAGATGAACTATAAAAGCTCTTCTGTAAAAGCTCTTCTATACACAAAATTTGGAAAGTTTATTAGCATTGAAAGTGTTTTTATACCCTACAACACTATGTGTTGGGGGTATTATAAGTTTGATTGGGCCAGAATTTATGTAACACCTCGAAATATTGGTTTCCCATATAGGAAAGTATATATGGATCTTCCTAGCTCGCCGAGCTGAGTCGATCTAGCTATGTATGTCCGTCTGTCCATGTTAATTTGTAATCACTCTACAGGTCGCAATTATGGCCCGATCTTCACGAAATTTAGAATGGAGGTGGGGATGGGTTCAGAATAGAACCCTATTTCTTTTAGAGATGATCGCCAAATGTTTAGGGGTTGAAATGGACCAAGTACTGAAAAAATGTCGGATTTTGCAGTAGCTATACAGGTCGCAATTATAGACCAATCGACGCGGAATTTCGCATGTAGCTAGAGTTTAGGGCGGGGAAGAAGCCTACCAATTTGGGTGGTCATCGGATAATATTTAGCGGGTAAAATAGACCATATCTTTTGTGTTGAAAAAATTCAAAATTTTTCATTAAACCGCGAATATTTTAAATCCTGGCGAAATCACAAAGCCATGTCAAGGTTACTTCTGATCTTTACATTGATGTTAACATCCAACAAATCGGATATATAGCGAAATATGTGCGATACATATGTCTATCAAAGAAGATATGCTTGAAAGATTAATTCAGAATGGCCTCTTGGCAGGAAAGAAAACACGTCTAAGAAAATCGCATAAAAATATCTCTCTAAAGATGAAAATATTGATTTTGTAACATTTTCTCATATTTTTTCAATTTTGTCATATTTTTGGCATATTTTCATTTTGAATTAAACATTTGGTAATATTTCTACAGCTAACAAAACTAAGTAGTTAGGATATCAGGATATCATATACAGATCGCATTTATGGCCCGATCCTTATGAAATTTTGCATGGGGATAAGATGAGGGTCAGAATAGAAGCCTACTCTTTTTGGAGATAATCGCCATATATTTAGGGGTTGAAATGGACAAAAAAAAACTGCAAAATTGTCAGTAAGTCGTAATTATCGCCCGATCCTCACGCGCATTTGAATGGAAGTTACCGCATTTGAATGCAAAAGCCAAATAGTTTTGGATGGCCATTCAAAAATATTCAATGTGTGAAATAGTTTGCCAACTTTTGTAGACAAAATACGAAAATATCCATTCCAGTGTCTTTTTGGAGGATTCACAAATACAGGAAAGTCGCACTTCTGACTATTTCGTTAAGGCTGATTTCGTTGAAGAATATAGTCAAATGTCTGTATCTCATATAGATGCGTTTCAGTCAAAAACCAATAATAAATGTTAATCTTTTGCCACTTCTGAGAGATTATAGGTCTTTGGGTAATATTGGTCCCAGATCTAGGAGACCGTTTACGTGCAACATCTACATATAAATTGGAAATGAGCAAATTAGTTAAAGTTTCTATTATTCAAAAAATAGAGAACGAAACTTGAAGGTTTTCTTTTATTAATTGTCACAATATCTTGTGGAATTTTTTCGCGTATCTGGCCTATATAAACTCTATCATTTATTATAGTGTTGTAGGGTATTCAACGGTCGGCCCCGCTCGACTGTAGCCTTTGCTTACTTGTTATATCTGTAATTGATGAGGAAAAAGCTCAAAGGGAAGCCTTAACATTTTGAGGGTGTAATATACGCAAAGGATCTTTAAAATATGGATAAGTTATTAATTTAGTAAAATTTAGCAAAAGCTCTTTTTACTGAAAGAAGGTAAACTGTATTACATAAAGCCTTTAATAGGCGGAGGAATGTTAAACCTCTTCTTTAGGCAAAGGACTTTAGACAAATGACTTCTATGGACAAAATACCTTACCTTAAGGGTTTCCATAAGTAGAAGAGCTCTCTTTAAAAGCTCACCTAAGGTCATTTTATAGGCAGATTATTTGTAAAAGCTCAAAATCTTTCAAATACATATTGCAGACAGTACGCCCTTAAAATCTCTTGCATACTCCAAAGATCTTTCCAATCCTGTTCATGGGCAGACGGCCTTTAAAAGCTCTTCTAAAGATCGATGACATTTAGAAGAACTTCTATGGTCAAAAGACCATAAAAAGGCCTTCTTTAATAAGCAGAAGAGCTTTAAAAGCTTTCCTAGAGTGATTTAAATCTTTTTATACACAGAGGAAATGAAAAGCTCTTTTATACATGGGATATATTTCACAACCTGAGTGACCTTAGGAAGAACTTCAATGGACCAAAGACTAGGTTAATCAAAAAAAAAAAAAAAAAAAAACGTTTTTCTGTTAATAGAGGATCTTTAAAAGCTATTCTATGAACAGAATATCTTTCAAATATTTCCGAAGAGCTTTAAACCCGTTTCTATAAGCAGACGATCTTTAAAAGCTCAGCTATAGATAGGTGACCTTTATAAAGACTTCCATAAGCAGAAAAGCTTTAAATGTTCTTCTGTAGTTATTGTAAAAAAAAAATTAAAAGCTCTTCTATGGGTGGACGAACTGTAATAGGGCCTCTATGGATAAAAGAACTTGTAAAAGGGCTTAAAAATCTCTTCTATATACAGATGAACTGTAAAAGCTCCTTTATAGTGAGAAGATCTGTGAAAGTTGTTTTCTGGTATTTTTAGGTATTTTTGGCATTTTTTAGTGCCAACCTTGCTTTCCAAAATACACCAGACACAATAGCCCAACGGATTAGTGTCCGGAGCTTTTGGTGGCCATTGTGCGCTGGAAATGAAGCGTGGAACCTCATTTTTGTAACCATTCTTGGGTAGCGAGTACTGAGTGCGATGGTGTGATGGAGTCCTGTTGGAATGTCCAAGGTCTGCGGCCAAAATGTTTGCCTGCCCAGGGCTTTAATACACCCTCCAGAATATTATCGCGATAATCGATTAATACGAGCGGAGAGCGACCATCGGCTGTTATGGGAGCCCACACCATCACCATGGCCGGCGTTGAGTTCTGGTTGCCAACCAAAGGTGCACATTTTCAGCTGACCTCTTTGGCAAGTAAACTCGATCATTTTGTTTGTTTAGAAACTGTTGGACAACGAATGTTTTCTCATCGGAGAAAACCAATTTCGACAGTTCATCACTTTCGGCCAAGCGGAGCAATTCTTAAGCTCTATTGAGTCTATTTTCTTTCGATTGCGGTGTAAGTTCTTGCACTTTTTGGAATTTCAATGGCTTTACCCCGAACTCATTTTTCAATATTAGCCGAATGGAATATTGTGATATGTTTAGCTCACCAGCCATTTTTCGGCCACTGCGACGCGGGTTTTGATCAAGTTGCTTCTTTACTTTTCGAACCATTTCTGCTGTGTCTCGTACCACCGCTCGTTACCGGATAATGGTAGCGAAGCCCTACGTCAAGAAAGTGGACGGAAAAAACAGCAACATCAGCAGAAATGGTTCGAAAAGTAAAGAAGCGATTTGATCCAAACCCGCGTCGCATTAGGCAAACATTGAAAAATGAGTTCGGGGTAAAGCCAATAAAATTCCAAAAAGTGCAAGAACTTACACCGCAACAGAAAGAAAATAGACTCAAAAGAGCTAAAGAGTTGCTTCGCTTGGCCGAAAGTGGTGAACTGCCGAATTTGATTTTCTCCGATGCCGATGAGAAAACATTCGTTGTCCAGCAGTTTGTAAACAAACAAAATGATCGTGTTTACTTGCCAGAGAGGTCAGCTGAAAATTTGCACCTTCGGTTGGCCACCAGCCATCAGAACTCAAGCGCCGGACATGGTGATGGTGTGGGACGCTATAACAGCTGATTGTCGCTCTCCGCTCGTATTAATCGACCGTGGTATCAGAATAAATGCCGAATATTATCGCAAAAATATTCTGGTGGGTGTATTAAAGCCTTAGGCACGCAAGCATTTTGGACTAGGACTCAGCACAATCGCTTTCAGCATTCGCCACTCAAGAATGGTTACAAAATAAGGTTCCTCGCTTCATTTCCAGCGCCCAATGGCCACCAAAATCTCCGGATACCAATCCGTTGGACTATTGTATCTGGAGTATTTTGGAAAGCAAGGTTGGCACTAAAAAATACCAAAGTGTCGATCACCTCAAGCAAGCGCTTCGCCGGGAATGGGCCAAAATACTGCAGAGCAACATTTGGACAGCGTGTGACGATTTCATTGGCCGTTTGAAGACCATAATTCGTGCCAAAGGTGACCAATTCCGACAAATCTAAACTTATTCTAAAATTTGATGCTACTTCCGACATTTTTTGCTTTCATTCAAAAGAATTAAAAAAATGTAAAAATTAATTAATTAAAATTTTTTTTGTCTCACCATTTATTTTTCTCTTATTCTTAAAAAAAACACTGAGGAAAAAACTATTAAAAAAATCTCTTTTCATTTCTGGAAAACAGAATAAAAATCTAAAATCGGTCAATATGTAAGGAGTTACAGCCATGTTAAGAAATGAGTTGTTCATTGTTAAAACACTGAAGCCACATTCGTGCTAAATACTCCGAAAAGCCAATATTTAAAGAGTTCTATTTATTCTACCATTGATATATTAGGTCCTCAGTGTATTAGTATCAGTAAGCTGTTCATGACACTTAAATTTTGCCCTTTACTGTAGTTGCCTTCGGTAATACCCATAATTTAAATTTCGTTGATTTCTGTTACTGATTATTTATTAACAACATGTCAAATTAATCTCCACCCATTTCTAGAGCAGATCGAAATATATAAAACGAATTACGCCACAGAAATTCGGCGTTGTTTTGTCTAAACTTAAGTGTCCGTTAAAAATGGCTAGAATGCTTCTAAAGCCTTGGATTTGCCTATTTTATATTGTTTCCCCAGTTGTGGGGCCCCGCTTCGATTTCATTGTGGATAATGATGATATTTTCGAGAGGTGTCCAGATAGGCCAAATGTACAGGGAATTCGTGACTTTATTAATTTATCGGAATTTACAATTGAATTCAATGAGGGCTATATTAGCGGCTGGGGCCAGATGACAATGCATTGGGAGGGTGTGGAAGCCACGGATCGTGTTGATGTAAGATTCTCCCAATGGAGGAGGATTCTCCCTTGAGGATATTTCTTTCCTCCAAGCCGGAATGTAATATTCTTCTTTCGTTTTTTTTTCGTTGCAGAGTTATGCGGAGGTCTTCAAATTTCAACGTGGCACTTGGCAGCCAACAACCGTGTTGGTACGCGAGTTTAGTTTTTGTGAGCGACAATTTGATACCAACACGATATGGTATAATGTCTGGAGTCGCCACATACGCAAGGAGGACCAAAAATGCATAAATAATTATGGAGTAATAATTTTTTTAAATTTTCAAATCTATTTTCTTTCAACATTTTTTTTGGTGTATTTCAGCATGTCTATCGTTACGAACCATTTGATGTGGAGACGGTAAACAATTTTCCCATAAACATGGAGGGACGTCATAAAATCGTCATCCACCTGGATGCCTATGACAATTCAAATGTTAGACGCCCCAATGCAGAAGTTTGTTTTCAAATTACTGGCGAATTTATAAAAGTCAAATGAGGTTTTAGTAGAAATAAATAAATTTATCTAAAATCGGATAGAGAAAAATTTGTTTTCAAATGCTTTTGAAAATATAGCAGATCCTAGTCAAGGATATTCCAGGATAAACATAATAGATTATAAAGGTTGAGAATATTGACTTTTTTGAATTATTCCGGAAAAAACTTCGTATATTATATAAAAGTGAAGCTAAAATGGAAGATTGGCATTTTGAAAGGTTATATCACAAATTTACCCGAATCGGAGGGTGTGGAGTGCTGCATCTACATTTTTAAAATTTTCAAATAAATTTATGGCACTCCTTGCATTTTAGGTATATTGCCCAATAATATTTCGAGGACTTTTTTAGTACAATATTTTATCTCTCAAGTGAGTCATCAAAGATATCCATTTGGTGGAGTGCCGTTCGGAGTTCCCCCTCTTTCACATTTTTTTATACCCTCCACCAAAGTATGGGTATATTAAGTTTGTCATTCCGTTTGTAACTCCTCGGAATACTCATGTCAGACAAAAAAGTATGTATATTCTTGATCAGCGTAAAATTCTAAGTCGATTTAGCGATGTTCGACTGTCTGTGTGTCCGTTTGTCTGTCTGACCGTCTGTCTGTTCTAATCACGCCATCTTTCGAACAAATTGAGATAGAAGGCTAAAATTTTGAACAAATGTTTATTTTTTCAGCAGGCAGGTTAAGTTCGTAAATGGGCCATGTAGGTCCACGTCTTCGTATAGCCCCCATATAACGGTACCTCCCGATATTCGGTATTTTAAAGATTTTAGCGTCATTATTCACCGAAATTGTTTCTAATTTAGTATTTGAAGTTCGCAATGGATACTACAGCCTAACACAGAAAATTGTTTGTGCAGCTCCACGTCTTCGTATAGCCCCCATATAACGGTACCTCCCGATATTCGGTATTTTGATGATTTTAGCGACATTATTTACAGGAATTGTTTCAAATTTGGTATTTGAAGTTCGTAATGGATACTACAGCCTAAGACAGAAAATTGTCTGTGCAGGTCCACGTCTTCGTATAGCCCCCATATAGCGGTACCTCCCGATATTCGGTATTTTGATAATATTAGCGGCATTATTTACCGGAATTATTTCAAATTTGGTGTTTGAAGTTCGAAATGGATACTACAGCCTAAGACAGAAGATTATCTGTGCATGTCTACGTCTTCGTATAGCCACCATATAAGGGTACCTCCCTATATACGGTTTTTTTTTTATTATTTTAGCGACATTATTAACCGGAATTTTTACAAATTTGGTATTCGAAGTTCATAATGAATACTACAACCTATGAACGAAAATTGTCTGTGCAGGTTCATACCTTCGTATAGCCCCCATATAACGGTATCTCCCGATATTCGGTATTTTGGAGATTTTAGCGTCATTATTCACCGGAATTGTTTCAAATTACGTATTTAGAGTTCGTAATGGGAACTACAGTCTGTGACAGAAAATTTTCTATGCAGGTCTTCGTATATGCCCATATACCAGTACCTCCCTATATTCGGTATTTTGACGAGTTTAGGTACAATATTCACCGAAATTGTTTGAGATGTCATATTTAAAGTTCGTAATGGATATTACAGCCCATGACAGAAAATTGTCTATGCTGGTCCAGGTCTTCGCACAGCTCCAGGGTGCGATAAAAAAACTGCAAAAAGTCAAACACCATAATTTTTATTTTTTTTTTAAATTTTATTGAATGAAAGCAAAAAATGTCGGAAATACCATCCAATTTAAGAATAAGTTGAGATTTGTTCGAATTGATCACCTTTGGCACGTATTGTGGCCTTCAAACGGCCAATGAAACCGTCACACGCTGCCCGGATGTTGCTCTGTGTTACTTTGCCCCATTCTCGGCGAAGCACTTACTTGAGGTGATCGATACTTTGGTATTTTGTAGTGCCAACCTTGCTTTCCAAAATACTCCAGACAAAATAATCCAACGTATTGATTTTGGTGGCCATTGTGCGCTGGAAATGAAGTGAGGAACCTCATTTTGTAACCATTCTTGGGTGGCGCGTGCTGAGTGCAATGGTGCTGAGTCCTGTTGGATTGGCCAAGGTCTGCGGATAAAATGTTTGCGTGCCCAAGGTTTTAATACACCCTCCAGAATATTTTCACGATAATATTCGGTATTTATTCTGATGCCACGGTAGATTAATGCTGGCGGAGATCGACCATCGGGTGTTATGGCGGCCCACACCATCACCATGGCCGGGGCTTGAGTTTTGGTGGCCAAACGACATACGATCTGCTGGACAATCTTTACAATCTTCTGGACAACGAATGTTTTCTCATCGGAGAAAACCAAATTCGGCAGTTCACCACTTTCGTCAAAGCGAAGCAACTCTTTAGCTCTTTGGAGTCTATTTTCCTTCTGTTGCGGTGTAAGTTCTTGCACTTTTTGGAATTTCAATGGCTTTACCCCGAGCTAATTTTTCAATATTTGCCGAATCGAATATTGCGATATGTTTAGCTCACGAGCCATTTTTCGGCCACTGCGACGTGGGTTTCGATCAAGTAGCTTATTTATTTTTCAAACCATTTCTGCTTATGTTGCAGTTTTCTTCCGTCTACTTCCTTGACGTCGGGCTACCCTACCAGTATCACAATTAAATGCTGGAGTGCTCTAACGATAGCCACATGTGCTTTTCCAGCCAAATAAAAAGAAATCACATTATAACGCTTGAATTCCATCACGAATAACTTTTTTTCTGGAAAATTCTCACCAAAATGCTTTTGTGCGCTTGTAAACAATATAATGACCTGTCACTGGAATAATTCTAACAGCTGTCGGACGAGTGGCTTGGAAATGACAGCAGTCTGAAGTTGGTTGCAGTTTTTTCTTCTCACACTAAAGACAGATGATCTTCGAGAGCCCTTTTATAATTGCATGACCGTTAGAAGGACTCCTTTGAACAAAACTAACAAAAAGAGTTATAGCGATTTGAAAAAATTAATTTTGAATTGAGTTATAGCCATTTTAATAAAGCATGGCAAAAATATCCGAAGTTAGAAAGTGGTAACAATTTAGAAAAATAATTTTTATATTATAAACATCGGTTAACTGTTCGTATATCCAAAGTTTTGCCCTGTACTGTCATCGTAATTGCGTTACAAATTAATTCTATTTCCGATTATCTTTTAGCTAAATTATCTCTAATGAGAAATTAATCTCTAGCCACTATTTAAATGTCAAATCCAACAAATATAAAAGGAGTTGTCACACTGCAACCTGGGTTCTTTTGTGTGTAAACGTGAGAGTCGAAAAACCATGCCTTGGATTTGGATAGTTTGTTCCATACCCCTAGTAATGGGATCTTATTTCGATTTTATTGTGGATAATGATGAAATTTTCGAAAAGTGTCCAGATCGACCAGAGGCAATGGGAATTCATGATATTGTTGATTTTTCGGAATTTATAATTGAATTCAAAGAGGGTTATGTTAGCGGCAGGGGCCAAATGACAATGCATTGGAAGGGTGTGGAAGCCACGGATCGTGTTGATGTAAGAAACTTTCACAAAGGAGATGTACCCTTACAGGATATATGTGTCTCCACAGGATATATGTCCTTACAGGATATGTGGCCCCACAGGATATGTGACGTTAAAAATGTGTTTTTAACCCAAAAATAATCTAAACTTGCTCTCTCTCCCTCCCTCTCTCTCTCTCTCTCTCTCTCTCTCTCTCTCTCTCTCTCTCTCTCTCGTTTTTTGTAGGGTTACTCTGCGCTCTTCAAATTTCAACGTGGCACTTGGCAGCCAACAACCGTACTGGTACATGAATTTAACTTCTGTAAGCGACAATTTGATGCCACCACAATATGGTATAATGTCTGGAGTCGTCACATACGCCGGGAGGACCAAAAATGCATAAATAATTATGGAGTAAAACATTTTTCAAATTCTCGGAAATTCCCTTTTCATAATAATTTTGAATACTTTTTATATATTGCAGCATGTCTACCATTACGAACCATTTGATGTGGAGACTGTCAGCTATTTTCCCACCAACATGGAGGGGCGTCATAAAATCGTCATCCACCTGGATGCCTATGACAAGTTAAATGTTCGACGTTCCAATGCTGAAGTGTGTTTTCAAATTTCTGGTGAATTTATTAAAGTGAAATGAGGTTTCGGTGGAAATAAATAAATTAGTCTAAAATCGGATAGAAAAGAGGGGCGGGTAGGATGATTGCCTTCAAATGCTTTTGAAAGTATAACGAATTTAAGCCAAGGAAAAGAAGTATTCCAGGAAAAGTTTAGTAGATTATGAAAGTCGAGATAAAAATGCAAGATTGGCGTTTTCAAAGATTACATTGCCAAGTAACCTAAATAGGAGGGGGTGGAGGGCAGCAAATTCTTCATACTTCCACAAATTTTTTGAAATATTCAACGTAAAATTAATTGGACTTTTTGCGTTGTAGTACTTTTACTTACTTTAAATACGGGCTATAATTCGGTCAAACCTTTTAACTCTCAAGTGAGTCACCAAAAGGGGTCCTTTTGCCGAAGTAGACGGGTAAGATCCCCCCTCTTTAATTTTTTTTTGATTAATATTCGTATTTTTTTGGGATTAATATTCCTTGGAATCCATGCATTTTAGGTATATAGTGGCTTGGAATATATATTACTGATAATAATAGGAGGATTATCCGGGCTAAATATTTTAAAACTCAAGGGAGTCAACAAAGGGGTCTTTTTTGTCCTTTTTACAAAAAAAAAAAAAATTTGAAAACACCAAAATATTCTACTTATATTTATAATAATACGAGGAATATTTTTGTTAAGCATTATAACTCCCAAGCGTGCCACCAAAGGGGTCCTCTTGGTGTAGTGAGGCAAGTTCTCCCATCTTTTATTTTTTTTGATAGTTTTAGATTAATATTCCTTGGAATCCATAAATTTTAGGTATATTGTGTCTTGGAATATATTACTGATAATAATAGGAGGATTATTCGGGTTAGACATTCTAACCCTCAAGCGAGTCGACAAAGGGGTCTTTTTTGCCCTTTTAACAAAAAATGTTTGAAAACTCCTTTTAAATGAGATCGTAGCAAATCAAAATATTCTACTTATACTTATAAAAATACGAGGAATATTTCGGTTAAACATTATAACTCTCAAGCGAGTCACCAAAGAGGTCATTTTGGTTTTGTGCGGCAAGTTCCCCACTCTTTAAGTTTTCTTTAGAAATTTTCGGGTTAATATTCCTTAAAATGCATGCATTTTAGGTATATAGTGTCTTCGACGATTTTTCGGGTGGTACATTTTAACCCCCAAACAAGCCAAGAATATGTGTAATTTTTGTCCATTTTTCAAAAAATGGTTAAAAATCCCTTTAAATGAGATCGTAGCAAATCAAAATAAACTACAAAATTATTTGTCGTAGAATTTTACTATAGGTCCCAGAATACATAAAAACTCTAAATACAACCTAAACAGCAGGGATTTCTAAATATTCACAAACACATTTTAGGGCTAAGTACGACCTTCATCTGATTTTATGAAAAATTCTCCAATAAAACAACATTTTAGAAGAACGACATCGAAGAGAAAAATATTCTCCATCAAATTTCACTGTAAGTCACCAAAGAAGAGAACTCTCTATTTTCATTATATATCAAGAACATATATCCACCAATGTTGCGAAAAAAAACTCGCAATTTTTTGCTGTTTTTTTTGATGGATTTTATCCGTCCTCTTTCGAGTTGATACATAAAACTTACAAAAATCATCATTTTATACAGAAAGTATCAAATAGAGTAATATTCTACAGCAAATTTTACTATAAGTCTCCAAAGAAAAGAAATCTATATTTTCCTTATATATCAAGAAAATCATTGAATCAATTTTGCGAAAAAACGAAGGATTTTTTTTATGAATTTTTCTCTTGTCTTTTTTCGACTTAGCCAAGAGCTTTCTATTAAAAAAGGCCACCTCAAATCACAACTAGAAATTAAAAAAAAAAAATAAAAATTTGGAAAAATGGAGATCTTCACTCCACCAACAAGACTCCTTTGGTGACTCGCTTGAGGGTTATGTTATGTTACACAAAAATAATCCTCTAATTGATATCGGTAATATTGCCAAAGAAACTATTTAATGAAATTGCCAATGGTCTTCTCAGTAGTTTTGTATGGAAGAGGGATTTTTAGGATTTTCCATGGAATGGAATTTTTAAGGGTTAGAAAAAAGGTTTGGAAGCTCTTCTAAAAGATATTCGAAGAGGGAAGAACTCTGTAAAAGACCCTCTGCTTAAGATGGCCGTCATCTGTGGAAGAAGTCTTTTCAAAAGGTTTTCTATGCAAAAATTCTTTTTCAAAAAATTTCCTATTGTAGAAGACATTTGAAAGGGCTTTCCATAGATGCAGATCTCATTTGAAGGCCTTTGATGGGAAATTACTTCTCAAAACTTTTTCTATGGAAAAACGCTTTTCAAGATGTCTTCTATGAAGGGCAAGTATCCAAAATATGTCCCATATAGAAAATCTTTAAAAAAGTCTTGTATGGGAAAAGGCTGTTTTCGGATGCTGTCGGTCCAGGTGGAGATCAGACGTGTGTGCACTACTCGAATTGTGATCGGCTCGCGGTAATCGGTTCGCCTTCGGGTTGGGTAATCGGTTTGATGTCGTCTCGGCAGTTGTCGTGTGAGTAGTTCGGCTCTGCGCTACTCGGATTGTGGTCGGCTCGAGGTAATTGGGTGGCCTTCGGTTCTGGGCAATCTGGTGGCTGTTTGTTTCGACTGTCGATGGGTGTGTGACTATACTTTGTGTTATTCGGGTTTTCTGTGGGAAAAGATCGGTTAGTGGGAGCTGGCTAAGAACAGTGAACTGGCTGTGAACTTGAGCTGCTTAAGAGCTGGGAGCTTATTAAAAAACTGGGAGCGGGCAAAGCGTTGGGAGCTTGCGAAGTGCTGGGAGCGTGATAAGCACTGGGATAGCTGGCTCAAATCGTGGCTAACTAGAAACGAGACTGCGGACGAGTCACACGTCTGTGCGTATTTTGTCGGCTATTGATCGACGACCTAGGTGAAAGTTCGTCTCCTTCTAGACCTTTCAAAGGTCTTCCATTATAGAGGAATTGGAAGGTCTCTTCATTATAGAAGTTCATTAAAAGGACTTTTTGTAGATTGGAATCATTTTCAATTTTAAGAAGCCATTGCAATTGTGGTTTGTTTATAGAAAACTTTCAGAATGCCTTCTTTATATATAAGACCTTCAAACTATCTTTTGAATAAAAACCTTGAAAGATAGTCCCATTACAGAAGATTGGACAACGTCTTCTTTTATTGAAGACCCTGAAAGGATATTCTGTGAGATTAAAAACTGCAACTAAGTCAAATGCTATAGTTTTTCCATTTCTTTTGTAAAGAAAATGTCGGAATTTTAGAATAAGTTTAGATTTATTCGAATTGGTCACCTTTGGCACGAATTATGGCCTTTATACGGTCAATGAACGGCCATCACATGCTGCCCGAACGTTGCTCTGCGGTATTTTGGCCCATTCCCTGCGAAGCGCTTGCTTGAGGTGATCGACACTTTGGTATTTTTAGTGCCAACTTTGCTTTCCAATATACTTCAGTCACAATAGTCCAACGGATTGTTATCCGGAGATTTTGGTGGCATTGTGTGCTGGAAATGAAGCGAGGAACCTCATTTTGTAACCATTGGGTGGCGCGTGCTGAATGCGATGTTGCTGAGTCTGTTGGAATGTCCAAGGTCTGCGTGCCCATGGCATTAATACACCCTTCAGAATATTTTCGGCATTTATTCTGACGCCACGGTTGATTAATACGAGCGGAGAGCGATCATCGGGCGTTATGGCGGCCGGCACCATCACCATGGCCGGCGCTTGAGTTCTGGTGACCAACAAATGGAATGTTTTCTCATCGGAGAAAACCAAATTCGGCAGTTCACCACATTCGGCCAAGCGAAGCAACTCTTTAGCTCTTTTGAGTCTACTTTCTTTCCGTTGCGGTATAAGTTCTTGCACTTTTTGAAATTTTCATGGCGTTACCCCGAGCTCATTTTACAATATTTGCCGAATGGAATATTGCGATATGTTCAGCTCACGAGCCATTTTTCGGCCATTGCGACGCGGGTTTCGATCAAGTCGTTTCATTACTTTTCAAACCATTTCTGCTGATGTTGATGTTTTCTTCCATCCACCTCCTTGATGTTGGGCTACGCTACCAGTGTCACGGTATCGAGCGATGGTACGAGACACATGTAGTAGAAGTAAAAATTTTTTAATTGAATTTTAAATTAAAAACAGAGGCATTTTCGAGCAGTATCTGATGTCCTGTACTAAATAACATTTTTCTGGATTGCATGTGAAGAACTTAAAACTCCAAATCGGATGAAACATATATATGGGAGCTATAGCTATATCTGAACTAATATTCACCAAATTTGATTTTACTTGCTTCTAGACTGAATTCGGTGGGATATTCCAAAATTCAGATCATTTGGACTTATATTGGCCATTTGGTGCACAACTAACCCGAAATCGGTTGAAGATATATGGGAGCTATATCTAAATGTGTTCCGATTATCACCAATTTCAATAGGGTTCGTCCTTGGGCCAAACAAATATTGTTTGCAAAATTTAATCTCAATCGGATAATAAGTGCGACTTACATGCATAAATCGACTCAGAAAGTGATTCTATGAAGATCCTCAAAAGTAACCATGGGTCTATCGCGCTTCCTTCCCCCTGTTACAAACAAATGCCCAAAGACATAATACCCTTACCGCTATGTGGTGTAGGGTATAATTATGTGCTTGCGATTAAATGGTACCAGCATTTCTGCAGCTGTTGTTGCCTCCCCATGAAAATAATAATTTTAATTTGTTTACTGATACCATTTAATGCTGTTACAGATTATCCGAATAATCTAAGATAAAATTAGAATCACATTTTTATTTCAAAATTGCACAACAGATATAAAACGGAATGTGGAATTTTATTGAATTGTATTATTTCGTATTCCGCCGAGAGAAATACTACACCTTTTGAAAAATGCTGTGGATTTGGATTTTGGGTTCAGTTTCCCTGGCGGCTGGACATCGTTTCGATTTTATACGGGACAGTGAGGATATTGCTGAAGATTGTCCAAATATGCCGGACACTAAGGGAATTTTTGACATAGTCGATTTAACGGGACTTACAATTGAATTCAATGAGGGCTATGTTAGCTGTAGCGGTGAGGCTAAAATGATGTGGGAGGATGTGGAGCCCACAGATCGGATTGCTGTAAGTTGGGGTTATTTTTTTGTTGATCATATACATATTTCCTGGGGATTTACTCTCTCTCTCCCTCTCTCTTTTTTTTGTTCTTTAGGGCTATGGCGAACTCTTCAAATTCCAACGTGGCACTTGGCAGCCAACAACCTTCTTCGTGCGAGTTTTTAATTTCTGTGAGCGTCAATTTGATAACAACTCAATATGGTATGACATATGGACTCGTCACATCCGCGAGGAGGACCGAAAATGCATAAATCATTATGGAGTAATAAAATGTGCTAAATTTTATTTTTTTAATAATAATTTAAAATATTTATTTTGCATTTACAGCATGTTTACCATTACCAGCCATTCGATGTGGAAACTGTCAACGATTTTCCCACCAACATGGAGGGCCGTCACAAAATCGTCATCCACCTGGATGCCTATGACAAACTGAATGTTAAGCGTCGTAATGCTGCTGTGTGCTTTCAAATTTCTGGTGAATTTATTAAAGTGAAATGAAACAGATTAAAACAGTGGAATATGACAGAGGAAATAAATAAATAACACTAAGCAACAGAAAAAAAATAAATACAGGAGAAACTCAGCAGATTATGGAATTAAAGCGTGGTGTAGGAGGGGGTGAAGTATGGCAAGTTTCCCATCTCCTACATTTTTTTATTATAAATTTTCGAAATAAGATTCCTTGGAATTCTGTCTTTTTTTGATAAATATTGTCTTCGGCATATATTACTGATAGCAATTTGAGGATTATTTTGGTCTACCATTTTAACCCTTAAACGAGTCTCAAAAGGGGTCATGTTGGTGGAGTGCCAGGTAGCCCATTCTCCCAAGTTTTTTTTGGAAAATTTCGAATTGAGGTTCCTTAAAATCCCTGATCGCAATACAAGGATTATTTTTACTGGAAAAAATTAAACCTCAAGCGACTCACCAAAGCAGTCTTTTGGTTCTTTTTTTTAAAGCTAAGAACTCCCTTAAAACGGAATGGTAACAAACCAACATATTCAACAAAATTATTTGCCATAGATTTTCACTATAGGTCTCCGAACAAATCAAAACTTTTAATCTTACCAGAACCCCAAGAATTAAATAAATGCTAAAAACACATCTTGGGGTTAATGTTGTATTTCAAGAGAGTTTATGTAAAATTCTCCAAGAAAGCAACACTTTAGAAGGATGACGTCAAAAACGAAAATATTCTTCGTCAAATTTCACTAAAAGTTACCAAAGAGAAGATATCCTTATGTTCTTTATAAATCAAGAAAATATTTATTTTTCAATGTTTTAAAAAATGTAAAAAAATATTTCCCATTTTTGAGGGATTTTTCTTCGTTTTTTTCGATTCGAGGCATGAAAGTGACCTATAACTTCATTTTGGACAAAAAATACCAGAGGAAAAAATATTCTATACCAAATTTCACAGAAAGTCACTAAAGATATGACATCCCTATTATCATCAAGGAAATATTTGTATTTGCCGAAAAAAGATGTGTTTTTGATAGATTTTTCTTTGGCCTATTTTTGAATTGATGCATGAAAGTGACATAAAACTTTATTTTAGACAAAAACTATTGAAGGGGAATATATTCTTCAGTAAATTTCACTATGAGTCACCAAATAAATAAAAGCACTATTTTCATTATATATTAAGAAAATACCTAAAACAATGTTGAAAAAAAAAAATCGACAAAAAATTTCGTATTTTTTGATGGAATTAGATTTGACTGTTTTTTGAGTTGATGCGTGAAAGTAGCATTAAACTTTATTTTAGACAGAAGCTATGAAAGGAGAAAATATTCTGTACAAAATTTCACTATGAGCCACCAAAGAAAAGAAATAACTATTATCATTATATATCAAGAAAATATTTCAATCAATGTTGCAAAAAAACGATAAAATATTTTAAATTTTTTGATATATTTCTCCGTCCTTTTTTGAGTTGATGCATAAATGCGTCATAAAACCTCATTTCTGAGAGATAGTATTAAAGGCGGAAATATTCTCCATCAAATTTCATTATAAGTCACCAAAGATATGAATCCTATATTTTCATTATATATCAAATTTGCAAGAAAATTAAAAAAAACAAAATTATTTTTTTATGAAATTTGCTTTGGCTGCTTTTTTGTGAGTGGATGCATGAAAGTAGCATTAAACTTTATTTTAGACAGAAAGTATTAGAGGGGAAAATATTCTATACAAAATTTTACCATAGATCACAAAAGAAAAGAAAAATCTATATTTAATATATATCAAGAAAAGATTTTAATCAATGTTGCCAAAAAAAGCGAAAAAATATTTTATATTTTTTGTATTGATTTGTTCGGTCTTTTTTGAATTGATGCATGAAAGTGATATAAACCTTCATTTTAGATGAAAAGTATCAAAGGAAAAAACATTCTTCATCAAATTTCACTATAGGTCATCAAAGAAAAGAAATGTCTATATCTAATATATATCAAGAAAATATTTGAATCAATGTTGATAAAAAATAAACGAAAATATTTTCTATTTTTTGATGGATTTTTTTCGACCTTCTTTCAAGCTGGTGCATGAAATTGACATTAAATTAATTTTAGGCAGAAAGCTTCAAAGGATAAAATGTTCTGCGCCGAATTTCACTGCAAGTCTCCAAAGAAAAGAAAAATCTAGTTTCATTATATGTCAAGAAAATATTTGTATCAAATTTGCAAGGAAAACGCAAAAAATATTTTTTAGTTTTTGAAGGATTTTGATTCGATCTTTTTTTGAGTTGACGCATAAAAGTAACATAAAATCTCATTTTAGACGAAAAATTTGAAAGGAGGAAATATTCTTCATCAAATTTCACTATAAGTCACCAAAGAAAAGATCTTGCTATTTTCATTACATATCAAGATAATATATACATCAATGTTGCGAAAAAATACTTGAAAATATTCCATATTTTTATAGGAATTTGTTTGGGCCTTTTTTCGAGTTGATGCATGCAAATGGCAAAAATCTTCATTTTACATAGAAAGTATTAAAGAGGGAAATATTCTACACAAAATTTCACTATAAGTCATGAAAGGAAGCAACTTTCTATCTTCATTATTTATCAGGAAAATATTTGTATCAATGTTGAAAAAAAATAAAAAAAATTATTTTTGGATGATTTTTGTTGCGCTTTTTTTTTATTGCATGAAAGTAACATAAAACTTTGTTTTAGACAGAAAGTATCAAACAGTAAAATATTCTACACTAAATTTCACTATAAGTCGCCAACGGAAAGAACACTCTATTTTCATTATATATCAAAAAAATGTATCTATCAATGTTAAGAAAAAAATTGCAAAAATACTTCAAATCGCCTTAAAAAAATGCTATTTTTTTTTTTTATTTAAAAAATGCATATTTCTTAAATATTGTTTTAAAAATATTTGAAAAGAAATCCGCGATTGTAAACATTGTTTTAAAAAGTATTTTAATTTATACTCCAACATTGTAATTATTATTCCTGTCCGATGACGATCTGACATACAAAGTTGTGAAATACAAAATTGCAAATTATACAAAGTTGCAAATTATAGGGTAGCGCATAAGTCTGCCACTATAAATACATAATACCAGCAAACCGATCAAATATTTCAAAAAACTTTGAAACTTTGCGGAAAACGACGGAATTTCAACAAAGGAAAATGTTATTTCCAAAACCAACTGGGTGGATATTCTTCACACTTTCCTGGCAGATGTTACAAGGAGCCGACTATGAATTTACACCAGACGATGATCAAATATTTACCGCCTGTCCTGATAAGCCCGGCACCAATGGAATCCTAGATATTGTTGATATATCCGAAATAATTTTGGAATATAATGACGGTGTTGTTCGCGTTGAGGGTAATATGACCTTTATATGGAAAGATGTAAAACCTACCGATCGCATGGAGGTTAGTTTTCTTTTTTCCTAGGATTACAAATAAATTTAATTTATTTTCTTTCCAATTTGCTATTTTCTTCTCCAGGTAATTGGAGAGATGTTGAAATTTCAACGCGGATCCTGGCAGCCAACCATTCTCACAATGCGTCTCAGAGACTTTTGTCGTGTCCAATATGATCCACTTGCTCCGTGGTATGCCGTGTGGAGTGTTAATGTTCCCGAAAATGAGCGAAAATGTATAAACAATGTTGGGGTAGGTTGAGAAATTTGGTTGGTCTTGTTGTTGTTTTTTTTCTAATTTTTTTGGTTTTTTCCCTTCCCAGCACACTATTCATTATCGTCCCTATAATGTGAATACTACTGTAAAATATTTTATAAACTTGGAGGGACGCCATAAAATCGTGGTCAACATCTATGCCTATGACGAAAATGGTAGGAAACGTCCGAAATCGTATTGTTTCGAAGTGATTGGGGTATTTGCAAAAGTTAGATAACAAAGAAGAATAGGTTAAGTTTCAAATTTTAAACAATTAAATAATGGAAAAATAAAAAAAATATTATACTTTTAAAGTTACCTAAAAACTCCCTTAACTGGATTGTAACAAGCCAAAATATTCTAAAAAATTATTTGTCATAAAATTTCACTCTAGGTCTCATAACAAATCATAACTCTAAATTGTATCTAAACGTCAGGAAATGCTAAAAACACACTTTAGGCTTAATTTCGTACTTCATGTGAGTTTTTGTAAAGTTCTCCTTAAAAACAACACTTTAGACGGCTGACGTCAAAGACGAAAATATTCTTCATCAAATTTCACTACAAGTTACTAAGGACAAGGTATCCTTATTCCCTTTATATATCAAGAAAATATTTCTTTGAATGTTTTAAAAAAAAGCAAAAAAATATTTCCCTATTTTTGAGGGATGTTTCTTTGCTCTTTTTTCGATTCGAGGCATGAAAGTGACATAAAACTTCATTTTAGACAAAAAATATCAGAGGGAAAAATATTCTACACCAAATTTCACGAAAAGCCACCAAAGACATGACGTCCCCATTTTCATTGCATATCAAGGAAATATTTGTATCAATATTGCCGAAATAGATGTGTTTTTTGATAGATTTTTCTTTGGTCTATTTTTGAATAGATGCATGGAAGTGGCATAAAACTTCATTTTAGACAAAAAGTATTAAAGGTGAATATATTCTACATTAAATTTCACTATGAGTTACCAAATAAAAGAAATATCAATTTTCATTATATAACAAGAAAATACCTGTAACAATGTTGAAAATAAAAATCGACAAAATATTTCGTTTTTTTGATGGATTTTTCTTTGGTCTATTTTTGAGTTGATGCATGAAAGTGACATAAAACTTGATTTTATACAGAAAGTATTAAAGGGGAATATATTCTGCAGTAAATTTCACTATGAGTCACCAATTAAAAGAAATCTCTATTTTATTATATATTAAGAAAATACCTGTAATAATTAAAAAAAAAAAAAATAATAATCGACGAAATATTTCGATTTTTTTGTTGAATTAGCTTTGGCTGTTTTTGAGCTGATGCATAAAAGTACCATTAAAATTTATTTTAGACAGAAACTATCAAAGGAGAAAATATTCTATACCAAATTTTACTATGTGCCACCATAGAAAAGAAGTCTCTATTATCTCTATCTCTATTATCATTATATATGAAGAAAATATTTGATTCAATGTTGCAAAAAAACGAGAAAATATTTTCTATGTTTTGATAGATTTTTTTCGGCCTTTTTTTAGTCGATGCATGAAAGTGATATAAAACTTCATTTCGGAGAAATAGTGTTAATGGCGGAAATATTCTTCATCAAATTTCACTATAAGTCACCAAAGATGTGAATTCTCTATTTTCATTACATATCGAATTTGGAAGGAAATTTATAAAAATATTTTTTTATTTTTAGATGGAATTTGCTTTGGCTTTTTCTGAGTTGATGCATGAAAGTAGCATTAAATTTTAGACAGAAATTTTTAGACAGAAGCTTTCAAAGTAGAAAATATTCTATACCACATTTTACTATGAGCCACCAAAGAAAATAAATCTCTTGTTTTTGTTATATATCAAAAAAATATTTCAATGAATTTTGCAAAAAAAGCGAGAAAATATTTTAAATTTTTTTATGGATTTTTTCGGTATTTTTTGAGTTGATGCATGAATGTGATATAAACCTTCATTTTAGATGAAAAGTATCAAAGGGAAAAACATTGTTCATGTAATTTCACTATAAGTCACCAAAGAAAAGAAATGTCAATATTTAATATATATCAAGAAAATATTTGAACCAATATTGTAAAAAAAAACAAAAATATTTTCTATTTTTTGATGGATTTTTCTTTGACCTTCTTTTGAAGCTGATGCATAAAATTGACACTTAAACTTAATTTTAGGCAGAAAGTTTTAAAGGATAAAATGCTCTACACCGAATTTCACTGCATGTCTCCAAAGAAAATAAATCTCTAGTTCCATTATATATCGAGAAAATATTTGTATCAAATTTGTGAGGAAAACGCAAAAAATATTTCCTAGTTTTTGATGGATTTTTGTTCGACCCTTTTTTTGAATTGACGCATGAAAGTAACATAAAATTTCATTTTAGACAAAAAGTTCGAAAAGAAGAAATATTCTCCATCAAATTTTACTATAAGTCACCGAAGAAAAGAAATGTCTATTTTCATTATATATCAAGAATATATTTGTATTGATATTGTCAAAAAACCGAAAATATCTACTATTTTGTCAATGGATTTTTTGGCAGTTTCCGAGTTGATGCATGAAATTAGTAGAAAACTTCGTTTCAGATTGAGAATATCAAAGAGAAAAATGTTCTCTATCATATATAACTATAGGTCACCAACGATAAGAAATCTCTAGTTTCACTATATGTCAAGAAAATATTTGTATCAAATTTGCAAGGAAAACGCAAAAAATATTTTTTAGTATTTGAAGGATTTTGATTCGATCTTTTTTTGAGTTGACGCATAAAAGTAGCATAAAATCTCATTTTAGACGAAAAATTTGAAAGGAGGAAATATTCTTCATCAAATTTCACTATAAGTCACCAAAGAAAAGATCTTGCTATTTTCATTACATATCAAGATAATATATACATCAATGTTGCGAAAAAATACTTGAAAATATTCCATATTTTTATAGGAATTTGTTTGGGCCTTTTTTCTAGTTGATGCATGCAAATGACAAAAATCTTCATTTTACATAGAAAGTATTAAAGAGGGAAACATTCTACACAAAATTTCACTATAAGTCATGAAAGGAAGCAACTTTCTATCTTCATTATTTATCAGGAAAATATTTGTATCAATGTTGAAAAAAAATAAAAAAAAATTATTTTTGGATGATTTTCTGTTGCGCTTTTTTTAAGTTTTGCATGAAAGTAACATAAAACTTTGTTTTAGACAGAAAGTATCAAAGAGTAAAATATTCTACACTAAATTTCACTATAAGTTGCCAACGAAAAGAACACTCTATTTTCAATATATACCAATAAAATATCTCTATCAATGTTAAGAAAAAAATCACAAAAATATTTCAAATTGTCTTAAAAAATTACAAAAAAAAATTTTTATTATTTAAAAAAATCCATATTTTTTAAATATTATTTTTAAACTATTTGCACAGAAATCCGCCATGGTAAACATTGTTTTAAAAAGTATTTTAACTTTATTCTCCTACATTGTAATTATTATTCTTGTCCGATGGCGATCTGACATACAAAGTTGTGAAATACAAAATTGCAAATTATACAAAGTTGCAAATTATAGGGTAGGGCATAAATCTGCCACACTATAAATACATAATACCAGCAAACCGATCAAATATTTCAAAAAACTTTGAAACTTTGCGAAAAACGACGGAATTTCAACAAAGGAAAATGTTATTTCCAAAACCAACAGGGTGGATATTCTTCACACTTTCCTGGCAGATGTTACAAGGAGCCGTCTATGAATTTACACCAGACGATGATCAAATATTTACCGCCTGTCCTGATAAACCCGGCACCAATGGAATCCTAGATATTGTTGATATATCCGAAATAATTTTGGAATATAATGACGGTGTTGTTCGCGTTGAGGGTAATATGACCTTTATATGGGAAGATGTAAAACCCACCGATCGCATAGAGGTTAGTTTTTTTTTTTTGCTAGGGAGACACTTAAATTTAATTTATTTTCTTTTCAATTTGCGATTTTCATCTCTAGGTAATTGGAGAGATTTTGAAATTTAAACGCGGTTCCTGGCAGCCAACAATTCTAACAATGCGTCTCGGAGACTTTTGTCGGGTCCAATATGATGCGCTTTCTCCGTGGTATCCCGTGTGGACTGTTAATGTTCCCGAAAATGAGCGCAAATGTATAAATAATTTTGGGGTAGGTTGGGAAATTTGGTTGGTGAATCTTTCTTCATTTTTTGTTCTTCTCTATTTCTAGCACACTATTCATTATCGTCCCTATAATGTGTACACTGCTGCAGAATATTTCATAAATTTGGAGGGACGTCATAAAATCGTGGTCAACGTCTATGCCTATGACGAAAATAATATGAAACGTCCCAGATCGTATTGTTTTGAATTGATTGGTGTCTTTGCAAAAGTTAAAAAACAAAGAAGCATGTGAGAGTGTATACAACAGGATTAAGTGTCAAATTTCAAGCTATTAAATAATTGAAAAATTAAAGAAAATATTTTACTATCAAAGTTAACCTGTCGCCTTTTGATTCCCTAAATTTTTTGGGGGTTTGATCTACAAACCGATTACAATGCAATCCACTTTGAATTCTACACAACCAAGACTGGCTATTGCACAGTGCAATTTTAGGACAATTTGCCCCGAATACGGAAAAAATGCAAAATTTGCAAAAAAAAAAAAAAAAAAAAAAATTAACCCAAAATGGATCCTACATTTTTATGATACATGTTGAGCCTACACATAAAGGGTGAGATGAAAAAAACTGCAACAAAGTCGAACGCCATAATTTTTAATTATACCCTACAACACTATGTGTTGGGGGTATTATAAGTTTGATTGGACCAAAAATTATGTAACACCTCGAAATATTGGCTTCCCATATAGGAAAGTATATATGGATCTTCCTAGCTCGCCGAGCTGAGTCGATCTAGCTATGTATGTCCGTCTGTCCGTCTGTCCGTCTGTCCATGTTAATTTGTAATCACTCTACAGGTCGCAATTATGGCCCGATCTTCACGAAATTTAGAATGTAGGTGGGGTTGAGGTCAGAATAGAACCCTATTTCTTTTGGAGATGATTGCCAAATGTTTAGGGGTTGAAATGGACCAAATACTGAAAAAATGTCGGATTTTGCAGTAGCTATACAGGTCGCAATTATAGACCAATCGACGCGGAATTTCGCATGTAGCTAGAGTTTAGGGCGGGGAAGAAGCCTACCAATTTGGGTGGTCATCGGATAATATTTAGCGGGTAA